TATTTATAATATAATAATTGATTAAGGGCCCTTGTGGTTCAGGAGTTAAACGCTTGTCTACTGTCTGAAGCATTGGTAGTTTCAACTGACACATAGGCCCCCAGAGAGAAGACTTGATGACCTGCTTCTATTAAGATTGTATCCTAGACAATCTGGGACAAATCTACCTTCACAGAGGGGGTTGCTGTGAGTCCAAATCAACTCTACAGCATTTAACAACAAGGACAAAATAGCTGATACAGGCAAAAATAGATATAAAATCTGGATTTTTTTTTGCTATGTTACAAAAACCTTGACAGTAGAGATTGTGTTTGTTCTTTTTGATATTCCTGACTTTTTACTGAGACTTTAGTGGCTTGCTATATATCAGAAATTCTAATTTAAGGGAAATTTATAAGTATTGGTTTTAGGTTTATATTAGTTTTCTATTGCTTTTGTAGCAAATTACCTCAAAATTAATGGTTTAAAACAATGGAAATTTATTGGCTTACAATGACCTAAATGAGAAATTTGATCTGGGTCTCACTGTGGGCTAAAATCAAGGTGTTAGCTGAGTTGTGTTCCTTTCTGGATGCTCTAGGGGATAATATATATATATATATATATATATATATATATATATATATATATATTTTTTTTATTTTTTTCCCACCTCTTACAGCCTATAGAGGCTGCCCACATTCTCTGACTCATGGCCTTCCATTAAGCTCATAACTAGAAAAGTTCCATCACTTGGATCATCCTCCCTCACCACATATATTTTGACCACAGTCAGTAGAGAATTGGCCCATTTATGGATCCCTATAATTACAAATAATCTAGAATAATCTCTCTATCTCAGCATTTTATTTCATCATATCTCTAATTTTTTTTTTTTTGCCATGAAGGTAATATTTACAGATACCATGCATTAGCATTAGGACATGAGTATCTCTGAAAAATGCATTCAGCTTAACACACAGTTTAAATTCCTATGGAACTCTGAAGCTTGCCTTACATGGACCACACCCTAAAAAAACAATGTCCTTCCCCCTCAGGTTAAGAGACTAATACTCATGAATGTGTCAACTTTATTTGAGAATTTAAAATAGAAGATTAATAAATTCAGAGCTGCTGAATTATGTACCGTATATCACAAAGGACTTATGCAAATATTAAACAAAACAAAACAACAGCAACAACAAAAAAAGAATTTTGCCTTTCTATATGCAAATTCTATTGTTATTCCCCACCACCATGCTGTGGAACTTATAGTGGCTTAGTTGCCATAGAATCTTACATAAAGCTACTTTGATATCCTTATTCCTTAAGCTGTATATTATAGGATTCAAAGATGGAGGCACCACACAATAAAAAACAGACACCAAAAAATCCAGAAGTTGTGGGGAATCAGGGACTGGCTTCAAATAGGCAATAGCACCTGTCACAAGAAATGTGGTCACGACTATGAGATGGGGCAAGCAAGTGGAGAAAGCTTTTGACCAGCCTTGCAATGACGGCATTTTCAGCACTGTACTGAAAATGGAAATGTATGAAAAACTAATGGAAACTAAGCAGAAAAGTCCATACAGGACCCCAAGTGCAACACTGATATTAATGATGACATGAGTCCTAGAGCAAGAAATCTTCAGTAGAGAGGGGACATCACAGAAGAAATGTGGGAGTTTCCTGGAACCACAGAAAGATAGAGAGAAAGTTCCAACGGAGTAAAGGAGCCCAAAGATACCCCCAGTAAACCAGGAAGCAGCTACCATCTGTACACAAACTCCCCTGCTCATGATGATCTCATAGTGCAAAGGATGACAGATGGCCACATAGCGGTCATAGGACATGGTTGTGAGGATAGAAATTTCAGATGCAGCAAAGTGAACCAACAACAAGACCTGTAACACACATGCTGGCAAGGAAATGATGTTTCTGTGGGATAAAGAGTTGAGAATAAAGTTTGGGACAGTTACTGAAATGAGACAAGCATCAAGGAAAGACAATTTTTTGAGGAAAAAGTACATGGGTGTGTGAAGACACTGATCCAGAGTGACAAGGATGATAATGAGAAGATTCCCCATGAGGGTCTCCAAGTAAATCAGCAAAAACAGAAAGGCAGACAGGACTCGGAGCTCCCTGGTGTCAGATAATTCCATGAGGAAGAATTCTATCATCACTGTATGGTTAGTCATGTCTCTGACTGTATTTCATCTCCTGTGGGAGGAAAGAAGGCAAAGACACACCTCATGTCCATGCTAAGCCATCATGCCTTCCAATAACACGTTTTTCTTTTTATAAGAATTCCTTTATTTTTTTTTAATAAAACATTTAGATTTTCAGTAAGATTGAAATGTTGCATGTTTTATAAACACAACCTAATGTGTTTTAAGTCTGTAGATGGCACAAATTGTTTGCACTGAACTACTTACCTAAAGGCTAGTGGTTCAAACCCATGCAATGTAAGAATGTCTTGGAGATCTGCTGCTGTGAAAACTATGACAAAAAAAACTCTATTGAGTATATCTACTCTATAACATATGTGGTTACTATGAGTCATAATTTACTTGGTAGCTACAGCATTATTTTGGTAATGCATTTTACAGTGTCCAGGAGAAGAACATCAAGCTTGGTAAAGTAGAGGAGCAACAAAAAAGAGAAAGGATTTCAATGAGATAATGGCTACAACAATGGGCTCAAACATGGCAATGATTGTTAGGATGGTACAGGACTGGGCAGTATTTCACTCTGTTGTGCAGGGGATCAGTCAGAACTGACTTGACGCACCTAATAACAAGAAAATGCATTTTAGAATGTTATGATTTTCTTATTGTTTTAGTTACTGGGAGTCCCTGGGTAGCAAAAAAAGTTTCAAAATTTTACTATTAATGAAAAGTGTGGTGGTTCAAACATACCCTTAGGCATCACAGAAGATCTAGCAATCTCCAAAAGGGCACAGTCTTGAAAACTCTATGGAGTTCACTTCTCATAGTGCTGTCATGAGTCAGAATTGCCTGGAGGACAGCTTTTGTTTTTTCTTTCCTTTTCCTTTTCAATATTTGCCACTCTTAATATGCATCAGAAGAGTCCTGCTGGCACAATGGTTATGCATTCATCTCCCAACTGAATGGCGTTCAAGGAGAAATATACAGCAGTTGAACCCACCAGCTGCTCCAGGAGAAAGATGTGGCATTCTGCTCCCATAAATATGGCCTTGGAAATGCTACGAAGCAGTTCCACACAGTCCTATAGGGTCGCTATGAGTTGGAATCCACTCCACAAGAAGTTTAATATGTGTTAGTTTATATGTCAAGTAAGCAGATTAGAGAAGGAATATGGAAAATTACTCTTTAATAGAACTTTATACATTTGGTGGCAAAATCTGTATCTTCACAAAATTTGTCCTACCTCATCAGCTGAATTTGTATATATAACCAATGGTACAATGCAGTAAATATTTAAGGTAGCTCCAATTGAAAGAAGATAGCCATTAAATTATTTTTATTGAAAGACCTGTTTATAATACTCATTGACTTTATCCAGACAAATTGAAAGTATTTTCCATTTAATTTTATAATAGAATATATACCTATACCAAAAGAAATAAATGATATTTTAATGTAAAGTGGAGAAGGAAAAAGTGAAATAGAAAGTTTATAACTAGGCAGATGTAATATTATATTAAAAAAAATACTAGTTGTTAAAGATGAGAATTAGGAGAAGAATATGGAATGTGGGGAAACAATCCATCTCTCCTAACTCACTGGCTCACAGGCTATTCATGCATATGTCCATATGTCTACACACACACACACACATACACACACACACACTTCCCAGATTGAATCTTCAGTGATTTTAAAGTAAGGATGGAAGTACACTTTCCTGCAAAATGGTATAAATAAAAGTGACTACAGTAAGCAGAAACAGAGCAATGTAAAATAGCATTATCGGGCAGAAATCCGTTCTTCAATGAGGAGCAGTAAAGTTGTGTCTGAAAAGAATCTTATTGTTGTGTGCCACCAAATCAATTCTGACTCAGTGGTCTCTTATAAAAGAGTAGAACTGTCCCCCAGGGTTTTTTTGGTTGTCACCTTCACAGAAGGAGATCACCAGATCTTTCTTCCACAGAGCCATTGGGTAGTTTGAGATTGCCAAATGTCCCAGTTAAAAGCTGAGAGCTTACCCATGTGTTCCTTGAGAAAGAATAGAAGATGGGAAATATTTTATGTAAACAAACAAACAAACAAACAAAAAAAACATTTCAGTTACTAGAGAAATAAATTGCAGGTTTCCTTTAAAAAACTAGAAATTTAGTAGTAGACCTCTTGCCATTTACTAGAACCTATATATTAGTTACTATTTCTAATAATAGTGGGAAGCTCTGGTAGCATAGTGGCTAAGGCACTTGACTGCTAACCAGAAGGCTGGCGGTTCAAACCCACCAGCCACTCCTCGGAAGGAAGGTTGGGCAATCCAACTTCCATAGTGATACTGCCTCAGAAACCCAAGGAGGGGTCTCTATGAGTCAGGGCTGACTCGACGGCACATAACAACAACAAACAATAATAGGGATGCAATGCCAACTTAATTATTTCCAAGATGTTAAGCCTTCCCAATATTTTGATAAATAGAAATTAATAACTGTTTTAGGTAAGTTGTAGTGCTTTTTGCAAATTTAGTGTGTGACATCCCTATGAACATTAAGAATTTACCTTTGTATTTCAAAGCATAAAATTCATTAAGGGAATTGATAATGTATCTCCTCATCCAAGGACTACTTCAAATTAATATTCCTGATATAAGATTTGCCTGAAGCAGAAAAAAGGAGAGATAGAATGAGTCAATTGACCTTGGCAATTGGGTTAAGACAAGCAGAGTGAACTGGATTTCACGCTGTGGTTTGAGTGGCTCCCTTAGCTAGCTGTTTGGTACAGTGGTCCTATTAAGCAAGCAGTTTATTAATTTCTCCCGAATCTGCATGAATATATAGTAAGTTTTATGCTACCCATCATCACACACTCATCAAGTGTGAATTTTGAAATTGTTTCTTTCCCTGCAAGGTTTATCTTTATGCTTTTTAAATTATTCTCAGTAATCTTCTGTGAGGATGTATTTTGAGTCTGAATTTACATGATATAGATACAGCATAATTTTACTAGTGCCACTTCCAATTACCTATTTGTGAAACAAATAACAATGCCTAAAAACTAAATGTCTTTGACCTAAATTAAAGACAATGGTAACTAACATGAGAAAAGAAAGCTCCCTCACCCCTTTCAATAAGCACAGCAATCAATGTTATTTCCAGTTTTAGAGATTTTCTTTACTCTCTTGATTTAGTTCTTTCAATCACAAAATGAAAAGGTTAAATTTTAAGATGCTCAAGAAACATCCGTCTCTAAAATGTGTTTATTACTTTAGTCTAGTGTAGAGTATATCCAGCCTCTCTGCTAAATGCTTTGGAAAATATAGTTGAATACAACTTCCAAGCCACAGTAGTCTTTTCAGTTACAAATTGTTATTAGTGCCATATTATATATAGCAAGACAGGCTTTGTGAACTCTCTTAATCACCTGAGCCTGGTATCCGTTGACAGGTTTTGATTCTCTATACAAGATAATTGACTATTAAATATTAACTTTGTTTAATCTAAGATTTGCTTATGAGGATATTAAATGAAACTCTTTCTTCTTTATTATAAATGTGATTTTTATTTAGCTCCATACACATATTTAAACATGGTGAGAGAACAATGAATTCTTTTGATTCTTGATAATGACCACCTGGATAATTGTTCTTGTAGGGGAAAGATTCAAATATGAGACCTCTAAATGTCATGTAGACAGAAATTGTAATGCTAAAGAGTGTAATCTTCAATCCTATTCTGAAAAATTTGAGAGATGAAAATCTTCAGGTACTTAAAGTGCTTAGTTTGAAGGGAATTTACATACTGAATAGATCAGCTACTTGTTTCAAAGCTATTTATGCTTGTTGTTGTTGTTGTTATTTGCCATCGAGTCGGAACGACTCATAGCAAACCCCTCCTTGGGTTTCCGAGGCAGTATCACTACAGAAGTAGATTGCCCAACTTTAGGGGGGAAAAAACTGTTTTTCTTGCACTTGGTCATATGTTGCTTATGTAGGCTTATTTTTTCCCCCTAGCATTTACTTCCCATAAACCCTTATTATTCACACTTACCTGTTATGATCAGAAATTCTAATGCTTTGCTACTTTTCAGTGTTTTCTGTTGGTGACACTGTTATACAGGACACTATCCAGGATACGAGAGAGAAAGTCAATGAAATTCATGATGTCTGAAGCCTTTCGCTTGCACTTTTAAAGCAGCAGAAAACATTTCCAATTTATTATACCATTTCCTTTGAAAAAACACTGGACTGAGAGAAAAACATAATTCTCTAGGGGACCATGACTGCAGTTTGCATGAAACCTTATTAATATGTAGTAATCAGTGCTGTGTACCCTTGGCACTAATAACTCACACCTCACACTGCTGCTCCTGCGCTATATTGCCTTTTTCTCTGGCAATAGTATACGGAAATTTCCACCCAGCCTCCCCATCAAGTAAAAACAGCAGATAGTGTATCTATTATACTTTATTTGCTATGCTATTTCAATCCAGAGGGAAAAATATCCATGTGTTCTAAATTCAATGTCAAGTTAAAGTTGGAGCCCACATATACATATATATTTTTGAAGATGCTCAGATATTTTGATGTAACATTTTGTGCTTGCATTTCTTCAATGACAAAAATATTTTTATGTTTATTGAAAAATATCTATCTCTATAGAAAAAAACTCACATGTGTGATCCAAAGATATATGTGCATGAATTATAGCTGAAGTTTAGTTTACAATAGTACCAATTTGAAGTATGTATTCCATTAGCAAGACAATGGGTTTCTAAAATATAATACAGTCCAACAATAAAAAAAAAACTATCCAGCAGTTAAAATGCAAAGTCTAAGACTATGTATAGAAGAAGGATATGTCTTACAAAAACAATGTTAAGCCAATTAGAAAAGGGTATGTAAGGCATGTATAGCACGTGCATGCATTTTATTGCATAAAAAAATGTTTAGTGAAAAAAATAAATATGAAAGGAATGACCTTGGTAACAACAGAATATCCAGATACTTGATTTTTTTTTTTTTTTCAATCTGAGTGTTAAGC